TACTCTACTCTACTCTACTCTACTCTACTCTACTCTACTCTACTCTATTTCTATTCTATTCTATTCTATTGCTTTGTTTGCCACAGAAAGAGAACTACAGATCAACAGAAATCATTTCCCTGTTTGCAGCTTAATAGAAATTATCCAACCATCCTTGCAACAGCCACAATAAATGTGAACTGATTTTATTTCACTTCAATGGCAGATTGATGACGCTATGGAGATACGAGAGATTATTAACGGAGCAGCCTGCAAACACAGTTCCCCATTTAAATGGCGGATTTTTTAAAGCAATAATGAGGCATACCACAGAGATACGATAAAGATCAATAAGGCACCATGGGGATGGTAGAATCCATCTCTGACAAATGTCTAGTAAATAAAAGCAGTCGCAAACAAGATGGAGTTGAATTACGTCTACGTGTTCAGAATAAAAGTGACACGATTCAGCACCAATCAATAGAAATAAGTATTCAGAAATATGTTAGGAGCCACTGACGAGAACAGCAAGCATTAATCTTCCAATCTAAAACTTTTGTGCTAGTTACTATAATGCACACATACATATATACAGAAATAACAATAAGAGAAAATAAACATGGCACTTTTGGGTCATCCTCCTCCTTCTCTTTTAATGACCCCCTAATCCCTTGCGGGGTGAATGGAACTGAGTGTTTACCGGCCGGATGCCCTTCCTGTTGCCAGTGTGGAATTTTGTTCAGCAGATATATTCTCAGCCCCTTTTTGCCTCATGGGCCTCAGGAAAGCCTCCTGGGCAAAGCAGTAAGACAGCGAGGGGGATCCTGGCACAGCTGATCATCAGAACAGCTGATTGTCGGGAGAAAGAAAAGAAAAAAAAGAAATACTGGTTCGGCCCAACTGGTAGCTGGTTTTTTTTTTACTATCGGTTGGCCCAAACTGGCCTGAACCAGTAGAATACCACCATTGATGGGGTCCCATTATGGCCTGCTAAGACAGCTATTTATTTATTTATTTATTTATTTATTTATTTATTTATTTACTATTTATTTAGCATCTTGGGACTATTGCAGGGTGATGTGGCTTCAAACAGCTGAGGAACCACAAAGCTGAAAATCATTTCTCTCTTTATCAACATGCCTTTTTCTTAAATTCTGAACAGAAAACTCCCCCTAAAGTACTTTTTAACAGATTTAACAGATTAGCAGAGTTGGAAGGGACCTTGTAGGTCATCTAGTCCAACCCCCTGCCCAAGCAGGAGACCCTACACCATTTCTGATGAACACCAGTCCAGTCTCTCCTTGAAAGCTTCCAGTGATGAAGCACCTACAACTTCTGAAGGTAACTTCTGTTCCATGGGTTGATTGTTCTCACTGTCAGAAAATTTCTCCTTATTTCCAAGTTGAATCTCTCCTTGACCAGTTTCCATACATTGTTCCTTGTCTAGCATTCGCATGACTGGATCAGTCCTCACAATAGACTAAACCTGGGGGTCTCCAAACCTGATGACTTTAAGACTTGTGGACTTCAACTCCCAGAATTCCCTACAACCAGCATGAATTCTGGGAGTTGAAGTCCACAAGTCTTAAATTCAGTAAGCTTGGAGATTCCCTACAGTACACCATCAATCCAGGTGAGCGTAAGAAGCTATAGAATAGAATAGAATTCTTTATTGGCCAAGTGTGATTGGACACACAAGGAATTTGTCTTCGGTGCATAGGCTCTCAGTGTACATAAAAAGAAAAGATACATTCATCAAGAATCATCAGGTACAACGCTTAATAAGAGCCATAGGGTACAAATAAGCAATCAAATCATATTAGGAAACAGTCAATATAAATCATAAGGATATAAGCAACAAAATTACAGTCATACAGTCACAAGTGGGAGGGGATGGGCAATAAGGAGTGATGAGAAGATTAATAATAATAATAGGGCAGACTTTGTAAATAGTTGGGCAGTGTTGAGGGAATTATTTGTTTAGTAGAATGATGGCATTTGGGGAAAAAAACTGTCCTTGTGTCTAGTTGTTCTTGTGTGCAGTGCTCTATATCGTCGTTTTGAGGGTAGGAGTTGAAGCAGTTTATGTCCAGGATGTGAGGGGTCTGTAGATATTTTCACAGGCCTCTTTTTGACTCGTGCAGGATACAGGTCCTCCATGGAAGGAAGGTTGGTAGCCATTGTTTTTTCTGCAGTCCTAATTACTCTCTGGAGTCTGTGTCTGTCCTGTTGGGTTGCAGAACCAAACCAGCCTGTTATAGAAGTGCAGATGACAGACTCAATAATTCCTCTGTAGAACTGGATCAGCAGCTCCTTGGGCAGTTTGAGTTTTCTGAGTTGGTGCAGAAAGAACACTCTTTGCTGTGCTTTTTAGATGACATATTTGATGTTAGGTGTCCATTTTAGGTCTTGTGATATGATAGAACCTAGAAATTTGAAGGCCTCTACTGTTGATACGGTGTTGTCTAGTATTGTAAGAGGTGATAGTATGGGAGGGTTTCTTGTAAAGTCTACCACCATTTCTACAGTTTTGAGTGTGTTCAGTTCCAGATTGTTCTGGTTACACCACGAGGCAACTTGTACAACCTCCTGTCTGTATGCGGATTCATCGTTGTCTCGAATGAGACCAATCACTGTTGTGTCACCTTCAAACTTCAGTATTTTAACAGATGGATCAGTTGAGATGCAGTCATTGGTATATAGGGAGAAGAGAAGTGGAGAGAGCACACAGCCTTGGGGCCCCTGTGCTAATTGTACAGGTATCTGATGTGATTCTGCCTAGCTTCACCTGCCGCTTCCTGTCTGTTAGAATTTGCATAACATGCAAATAAGCATGTCGGATTGTGGTTTAAGAAGATGGTCTGGTTCATAGTTGGATAATCCCAATTATCCAACCCTATTTTCAGCTAGTCTAATGCGTTGGGCAAATTTAGCCATTATGTGAAAACCAGGAAAACATATTTTGGCTTTTATAATGCTTCGCTAACAGATTAGCCATCTCATTACTGGCATGAACTCCTCAGTTATTTTCAGCAGCTTATTGATTTTTATTTATTTGTTCTATTTTGCACGGCCTGCTCCTCCCTCTGCAGGTCAGTTTATAGGCCTACGTTGGTTGCCAAGTTGGATTCTGCATCTTGGTTTTATCCCATTCAGAAGTTGTGGGTGCTCCATCCCTGGAGGTATTTAAGAAGAGATTGGGCAACCACTTTGAAGATACAAATTCTCTTGCCTAAGCAGGGGGTTGCACTAGATCGGGGTCGCCAACCTTTTGGACCTCAGGGACCACCAAACTCATAATTTTAAATCTTGCGGACTAGAGACCTTGGGAAAATCCCCAAAAAAGTCTGCAGGAAAATTTCCCACCCCGTTTTCCTACCGATTGATCATTCTTTATTTGGGATCGCAGGATACTGTTTCCAGCTCCGTTCTCAGGGAGAGAGAGAGAGAGAGAGAGACTTTGGGCTTCATGCAAGGAAAGCAGCAGAAGCAGCAGAAGTCTTTCTCTCCCCCAAATTCAGCCAGAAATGAGTCTTTGTGAGATTTGTTGCGCCAGCACAGCCTCTTGGAGCAGGATGCCTTGCAGGGTCCCAAAGACTCATTTCTGGTGGAGTTTGGGGGAGAGAAAGAAAGACTTCTGCTGCTTTCCTTGCATACAGCCAAAAGCAGAAGAAAGAAGTGGAAAGAAGCAACCCGGTGGCCAGGTCAGGCGGATGAGGAGCATGGGGCAAGTTCCCCCCTTCCCCCCTTTCCTCCCTCCCCTCACTACCTCGTGTTGTTTGCAATGCAAGCGACGCAAGCCTTGTGTTCCCGCGGGCTGTGTGGGTGGCGCAGCCTTGTGTTCCCGTGCAGCCTGGATTAATTGCTTTGGGGGGGGGTTGCTTTGGGGGTGATATTTCATAAGCACAAAAAAAAGTCGTCAGTCAGTTTTTCAGTGACGTTGTAATTTTGAACGGGCACTAAATGAAGGGTTGTAAATCCAGGATTACCTGTATTTTAAAACATTTTAGTTTTTCTTTTTAAAAAAAAAGACTTACAAGTTGTTCAGACTTCACACCAAATAACTGGATAGTCTTGGCCACGTTTTTTGATACCGCAAAGCTGAGGTTTACATCCACCGCTGCCACGTTCAGCTCACTAGGGAAAAAACAGTACTAGTGTCAGGACTCCGACAAATCCCCCCTTATTCAAATCACAAGTCTCTAGCCACATCTCTCAGAGTAAAAAAAATGATTTATTAGGAGTGGCCATGTCGGCATTACCTGGGGGCAGCTGACACTAAGATACTTCATTCATTTCCCCCTTGATCCTGGTCTTCTGCCCACCCTCTGGATGTATATTCTCTGTGATGACCCAGGGTGTGGCACAAAAGTAACAAAGTCACAAAAGTAGGTAAAGTCCCTTTAATGCATCCAACTTCGCCCTCTATGTCCAGTTATCTTTGGCTGGAGAAAAAACTCCCAAGAACAGTTTTTAAAGGGAAGAAATTCAGTCTCAACCCAAAGTACATCTAAATTATAAATAAAAACCAACACAAACCACAGCTGCAGCTATTAACGAGACAGGGCAGGATAAGGAATTGCAGATTTCAAACGACAACGAAACATACATGGTTGGGAGGACGCCAAAACCCAGATAAGCCTCGACAAACAAAGATAATGCACGCTTTGCTTCCAGCAAGGTGCTGTGCGCAAACAGCCACTTTATCCGGTTTTCCCAGCTGCAGCTAATGAAGGGAATCAGGGCCTTTTTCTCCCCCATAACTCACGTTGCTCCCTTATTCGTTCCTCCCTGTGTGCCCTAGGATGAAGAGGGGATGGCCCTGGGTCTTCCTCTGAATGCCCAGCTGGACTATGCCCTTCCCCAGTTTCCTCCACAGCCAGAGGAGCCACAATCCCACTCCCTGTCAGCTGTTCAATCTCCCCTTCGGAATCAGATTCCAAAGGGGCATGACATTCTCCAATGGGACACATCTATAGCCAAGAGTCATCAATCATGCTCTCCAGTAATAATCTTGTGCGCCAGAAGCTTCGGCTGCTTAGCAATTATCTGAAACATTTGAGGAATGCACTACTTCCCCCCACTCCCTTTATGCTGGCAACTAAAAAGACCAAAGAAGTATTTTTAAGTTGATAAACAGTAGCAAAAAAATAAGAAATGAATAATGCAACTGCAAAGAATGTGATTTTTGGAAACATCAATTGTGATTTTGGAACAAAGGGGAAAAAAAACCCCTTCATACGTTACGCACTGAAACTTATTACCTTACCACTCACCTTGCAATGATTTTAATGATGCTGTCCAGTTCATCGGCCGATGGAGGGTTGCGACCTCCGGGAGGAAACACCAGGTTGATGGGATCAAAGAGTCGCGACAGTGACTTCGATAGGTAGGCAGCTTCGTACGGTTGCAAAGAATTTTTCAGCGCTTTCTCTGGGCTAGAAAGAGGGAGCAATTAAGGGAGACAAAAATAATTATTTTCGTTTTGCAAACGCGCCTTAACACGGCAACCCTTCTGGGACTTGACTTTTCATCTTTTGCAGAAAGTAATGGCAATAGCACTTAAGACTTATAGACCGCTTCACAGTGCTTTCCATTCCTCTCTGTTGAAGGATTATTGTAGGTTAGGAATGGTGTAGGACAGGGGCCGGCAACCTTAAACACCTTAAACATTTGGATCTATTTCCTACAGAAAAGAAAACACCGGGAGCCACAAAACCTACCGGGGTTTGAAAAGCTCAATAAATTGCGTGCCGACAAGTGTCGCACATTGGTGGTTGTGACATATATTTTGAGCGACAGGGAGCCGCAGCAGAGGGATGAAAGAGCCACATGCGGCTCCAGAGCCACAGGTTGCCGACCCCTGGTGTAGGAGAAGGACAGACAGAGACTGGGTGTGGAGTCAAGAGAGGAATCAGCCTAGAATCTCTATGTAGCCACAAAGGGTCTCAGTCCAACCCTTCTTGAATTCCATCAATTTTTATCTAGTGCCAATTTAGTGCCAACTGCTAGTTCACTTTTTGTGTATAGTTGTGGAACTTAACGTGTGGTCCAGTTCTTTGAGTCTGACAAATAGACTGTCTTTGAGAAAACTTACCTGTGTAGGGCTAAGAGTAGACACCAATCTGATGGCACATAATCAAATTAAATCAGGCCAATCAAGAATGTCACGATCATTGTAGGTAGTCCCATAAATAGTAATAGCACTTAGACTTATATACTGCTTCACAGTGCTTTACAGCCCTCTCTAAGTGGTTTAGAGTGAGCCTCTTGCCCCCAACAATCTGGGACCTCATTTTACTAATCCTCAGAAGGACGAAAGACTGAGTCAACCTTGAGCCAGTCAGGATCGAACTGCTGGCAGTCAGCAGAGCTAGCCTGCAATACCGCATTCTAACCACTGACCACCAGGGCTCAGTGATAATTTTCAGTGATGCCATAAACAATCATACACTTTCTTTTTAATCTGAACTCCACAATTAAAAAGCAGGTATCTCTGCAATGAGCATTAGTTCTTATAAAGGTGTTGATCCACAGAGATGTGTGTAGATGGGTATATATGAAATAACAGAGTTGGAAGGGACCTTGGAGGTTTTCTAGTCCAGCCCTCTGCTCAAGCAGGAGACCCTATATCATTCTGGACAAATGGCTGTCCAATCTCTTCTTAAAAACCTCCAGTGATGGAGCACCCACAACTTCTGGAGTTAATTTGTCCCACTGATTAATTGTTCCCACTGTAAGGAAATTTCTCCTTAATTCTAGGTTGGATCTGTTTCCACCCATTACTTCTTGTCCTGCCTTCAGGTACTTTGGAGCAGGAGTTAGCAACCCGCGGCTCTGGAGCCACATGTGGCTCTTTCATCCCTCTCTGCTGCAGCTCCCTGTCGCCAGTCAGTTCCACAATTGATAGGGCTTTCAGTTAGGACAGGTAGAGGAAAAAGGATGCTATGCTAGGAGAAGACTCTATGGTGGGGGAACTTGACTTCCGGTCAGCTGCAGAATTAAACAGGGGGCTCCCTATTAGACCCTTTGTGGCTCTTTCAATGCTTAAGGTTGCCAAACCTTTCTTTGGAGAATAAGTTGGCCCCCCTCTTCTTTCTAGCAGCCCCTCAAATATTGAAAGAGTGCTATAATGTCATTCCTAGTCCCTTTCTCTAAACTAGGCATTCTCCAGTTCCCATAATTATGTACAGTATCATACAGTTTAGCCTCCAATCCGTTAACCATCTTTGTGGCTCTTCTCTGCACTCTTTCTGGAGTGTCAACATCTTTTTTGTATCACTATGACCACAACTGGATGCAGTGTTGTCTTACCAGCACTGTATAAAGTGATACTAACACTATACTCTTCTATCAAAATGTACGCCTTGCTCGAATTAGTAATTCAAAAACCCCAGATAAGTGTGATTGGCGTCCTACGACACGAAACATCAATGAAACCTAAATATTTCTCAACTTAAAATAAAGTTTCCCGAATACACTAAACCAGGAGTCTTCAAACTTGATAGCTTTGACTTGTGGACTTCAACTCCCAGAATTCCTCCTCCAGTCATGTTAGCTCAGGAATTCTGGGAGTTGAAGTCCACAAGTCTTAAACGTGCCAAGTTTGAAGACCGTTGCACTAAACACATTCATCCCCAAAGAGAACATCCATATTTTGAGGCTAGTTTTCAGAGCAGAAATGTGGCTTTATGGCCATTAATGAAGCCACAATGTGAGAACTGCAGGTACGCAAGTATTTTGCGTAAAAAATAAAAAGTCTCACAAACCATTCCCAACGCACCCTAAGCTTCAATCTGCTTCCATTCAAACTAACCAATTCTAATGACTGAATAGCAGTAGATTCACTGCCTTTGTTAACAGCAAACCCAACTTCTATTTATAAATATCCCTTCTGCGCTACGGCAAACGGCCCAATTCGTTGCAAGGAATCTGAAGTCTGAAATATTCTGTTCCCTAATTACAGACAGAAGTGCTAGTACTCATAATCCTGTTTCTTCTGCATGAATAGATCCTGCATATCGTCCTCTATTTGGGGAACTTCGGCTAAGGGCTCGGCGCTGCCGTTCGCAATCACGTTTCTTTGAATGCTTTCGCTGTATTGTTGAAGGCGCTTCCAGAAATCGTTATACAGCCGCAGCAATTTAGGATATTCGCCTTCAAAAGCCTGTTTCAAAAACATGGAAGCTGAAAAACAAAACGAAAAGATAGATTGGATATTAAAGCAAGCTTGTGCAACAGCTATACCTTTTTCGTACAGCATACAAGGGGTGGGCTTCAAAAATTTTAGCGAAGGGTTCTCTGCTTGGTTACTGGATGAGTGTGGCCTAGTCAGCCTCCTGTCAACTCATAAAATAATTCTATGGTCTTTCTGGAGTGGCCAACAGAAAGAGAGGGGGAGCAGTGCAGCAGCTTGCAAACCGAAAGTGCATTCCATAAATGTTTTCATAGATAGCAACTAGGTGACCGAAGTTTCTGCTGTGCAAAATTCAAACTGGAGAGCAAGATAGATGATTCTTGGCTATGGATGTGTCCCACTGGAGAATATGAATTATGATACACCCAGGGGGTGGGGGAAAACCTGGGTCAAGGGTGACAATGAATGATGTGCCTCAGAGTCGACTACACCCAGGCAGTGCTGGCATGTTTACTCCTAATAAATCTTCTTGGAAGTTTGGCTCGAGACTCATGATTTAATTGGGGTTAAGTGCCGGAATCCTGACACCTCCGGCACCATGGTGGTGGTGGGTTTGCCCTGCCTGGGCTCCGGAGGCTTTCCTCGAGCCTCCGGGAGGGCAAATACAGCCTCCCCCGGCTCCGGAGGCTCTCTGGAAGCCGGAAATGGGCCCAAACTTCTGGAAGGCCCATTTTTCATCTTCCCTGAGCCTCCGCACGCACCCTGCACTTGCCTGCATCCCAAATGGCCCATGTGGGGGCTCCTGGGAGGGGCGATGTGGGGCGGGCGAGGCCCACCAGAAGTGGGATTTGGGAGTTCTCCAAATTGCACAGAATCTTAGCTAGGGGCTCTCCCGAACCCCTGCGAACCCCAGCAGCACACCCCTGCGTACTGGCAGTTGTCGACGTACAAGCCATTCATTTAGTGACCGCTTGAAGTTACAACGGCACTGAAAAAAGTGACTCATGGCCATTTTTCACACTTACGGCCGTTGCCGCATCCCCATGGTCACCCAATCAACATCTGTAACCCCTGGCAACGACCTCGTATTTATGACATCTGCAGTTTCCCGGGGCCACATGATCAAACTTCGGACACTTGGCAACTAGCATGTACTTATGACGGTTGCAGTGTCCCAGGGTCACACGATCACATTTTGCGACCTTCTGACAAGCAAAGTCAACGGGGAAGCCAGATTCGCTTAATAACCCTGTTACTCACTTAGCAACTTCAGTGATTCGCTTAACAACTATGGCTGGGAAAATTGTAAAATGGGGCAACACTCACTTGTAACAACTGTCTCACTTAGCAACAGAAATTTTGGACTCAATTGTGGTCGTAAGTAAAGGACTACCTGAATAGAAATTCAATACAGCTAGGCCGCGACGTATGGACAATCGCTTAGTGAGCATTTGAAACTACAACGGACCTGTTCAGGGGTACATACGACCCAGATTCGAAATTCTGACGGCTGTCCCCACCCCATGATACATGACCGCACTTCGGACATGTGAGGGACCGTCTCTTGCCAGTCACATCTACCCGACCAACCAGAGTGGGGAAGCAAAGAATGTTGTGGGTTCCATCTCCTAAGGAGATACACCTGGTGGCTGAAGACCTGGTTCTGCCAGTGGGCCTGGGGAACCCAGAGCAGGATGGAGCCCATGAAATGGTTAATATGAATGTGTGTTATCGCCGGGGTGGCGAGGTTATTATTTTACTAATTTATTATATCTTTTTTTAATTCTTTTTCTTTCTTTTATAGGGTTTTTATATCCGTGTTAACCACCTTGAGTCGCCATGGGCAAGTAGGCGACAATATAAATTTTCTAAAAATAAAATAAAATAAATACAATAAAATACAATAAAAATATAATATAATAATAAAAATAAAATAAAAAATAAAATAAAATAAAATAAATAATAAAATATAAAATAAACAAAATAGAATAGAATAAAATAGAAAAATAAAATAACAAAATAAAATAGAAAATAAAAAATAAAAATAAAATAACAAAATAGAATAAAATAAAAAATAAAATACAAAATGAAAAGTAAAAAATAACATAAAATAATAAAATAAATAAATTCAGGAACCATCTACATTTACAAGCATTTCCATGTCCTACAATCACCTGAGTTTGTCAGATTTCAGCCAAACTGACCCATCGTGAATCATGGCCTCTTCACCTGACAACTGTAGAGGTTGTTTTACAAGCACGGCAGCCTGAACCACAGCCACAAAAAAGGGCATAAAACTGGCCACACGGATAAGTTGATTTACGGCAGTGATGGGCAGGCTACCCCATGGTTGTAACTGAAGGACTCCGTGTCCTTTTAATAAAAAGCTGTTTTGACAATGGATGAGCCTTCGTTTGAGATGTTTTGCTCTGGAGATAATTCTGTACCTTTACCTTCACAATGGCCATAAGGGCAAAAATATCCAGAAGAATTCCTGCTGCGACTTATTATTGGCTTTTATGTCCCTTTTCTAGTCTAATCAAATAGATATGAATCGCAGACTGGGTGCTGTGATAACCCGACTTTTTCTCTCATCCACAATTTTACTTTTGTATTTTCAGCGTCAAATTACTTTCTTCGGCAATAAGCTCATAGGCTCGAAAAAGTGAAAGATTTAATTGGTAGGGTGAACAATCGGAAGCTTAGGCAAACAATACTTGTCCTACTTATCCTTCATGCTGTATGAGTTAAGTTACGCAAGAGAGCTGTTTTTATCCAATTTCATTCAGAAATGCCCCAGAAAAAAAATATTTATTTTGCCGCTGAGTGACTTCTTTAGAATAAGCAAAATATAAAAATGTAATGCGTCTCGTACAAAATATTCTTGCAGCAGGTACAGCAGAGGTGTCAAACTCAAGGCCAGGGGGCCAGATCTGGCCCGAAGGACCGGGCTGGCATCGGGCTGCGTTTTCCCTGGCAGAGGGTTGCAGGAGGCCATTGCAGCTGAAAACAGAGCTTGCGAGGGATGTGTGTGAGACCCTGTCAATGCCCCGTCAGAGTCTGAATCCAAGGAGGAAGCCGGACAGCTGACAGGGAGTGGGAGTGTGGCTCCGTTGGCTGTGGAGAAGGCTGAGGAAGGGCAAAGTCAGGCTGGGCGGAGCAGGGGAGAGATAGAACAAGGGAGAGGGAGTTCAGAGAAAGACCCAGGCCCACTCCCTCTTCATCCTAGGGCACGCAGGGAAGAACGGAGAAGGGAGCAACGTGGCTTGTGTGGCTTACGGGGGAGGAAAGGGCCCTGATTCCATCCATTAGCCACACCCGGGAAGACAGTTGATAGGAAAGGCAGGCTGCATGCTGCAGGCTGTTGGCAGCAAACATGACTTTATCTTGTGTTGTCGTGGCTTATCTGTGTTCCTGGCATCTTCCCAACTGTGTGAATTTTGCCATACCTTCAAGTCTGCAATTCTTGCTCCTGCCCTGCCAAACTAATTATTTCAGTTTCGCTTGTTTGGACTTTAAGTTACAATTTGTGTTGACCATGTTTTGGACTTAATTTTCTGTAGTCAAAGGCTGTTCCTGGGAGAGTTTTTCTCCAGCCAGAAGGTAACCTGGAGATTGGAGGCAAAGTTGGAGATAATAAAGGGACTCTTATTGATTATCTGACTGTGTTGCCTTTGTGCCACGCCCCTTTGGGTCATCACAGGCCCTCCCGGGCTCTGTTTTCCCTGGCAGAGGACTGCAGGAGGCTGCTCCAGCCAGAAACGGAGCTCGGGAGCCCGTTTTCTCTGACAGCCACAGATCTTTGTCAGGCTTGGAGAGTTTCCAGGCCGATAGCTTGCAAACGCCACGCTGTAGCAGCAATTACTAGACAAGGAATCAGGAACCCTAATTAAACGAACTAATTGTCTTCTGCAAACACTACTCCTGTTTATTCTCTATGGGAGGGGCCATTCACCATCCACCTGTGCCCTTACTCCTGAGTCAACCCTTGTTCCTTAGCTGTTCCCTTCTCCTGCCAGCTCTGCTCATGCGCACATTGGGAACAGTCTCCAGCTGTTCTTCTGCCCCACTGATCTCCAACTCCAAAGGCAGCTGATAACTGTTGGACGGCCCTGGTCCCATCTCTGCCTCCAACGCAGAGCCCTCATCTGAGCCTTCCCCAAACGCCAGGACTGGCCCATGTTTCTCCGCAACCCCCTCACAATCCGAGTCTGCTGCCAGCTCTGCTGGCCGCTGACAAGTCACAACATGCTGAAGGACAAATAGACCAACAGAAAAACACTGTTTTTGTAATATCTTTCCAAAATTCCATTTTTGTTTTGGAAATAATAAAAACGGGCATAGGAAGATTTATCGGGCTGTAGAATAGAATAGAATAGAATAGAATAGAATAGAATAGAAGAGA